ATGACACTCAATATCACTACGACTGCACTTATCAATATCCGAATCAGAATCAGACGATTGCTACTCATCACTACTCTCTGAATTTGTTTCTTTTTCACTGCTATTTGTCTTTACTAAGAAATAAGTTTACCATTTTTCTTTTCAACACTAGAACGAATTAGAGCAGAGATTTTAAATTATACCGCTCGTTATTCGGTGTTACGTCCTACTACGGGGTCCTTGCCTTTATTTAAAGTGCTAAAGCACACCTTGACCTAACTATCTATTTCAAGGGAATAGGTATAGGATACACAAGGATTGACACGAGATTTCTATACAATTTATATTCTTTAATATTTAATACTCAATTACATACCAAAGACCGCTTAGCTTGGCCTGGTCGGCGGTTCGCGTGTCGGTGGCCTCTGTGCTGACACTAGTCACTTCACGTTACAAGTATTTTATTTCTATATTTAACTTCTCGAGTTCCCAGCAGTTTCTAGGCAATGCGTTCGTCCCTCGGGTAAGCCGTTTAAGAATCCTTTGATTCAGGGAAGCAGCTGAACGATGCTTTGAAACCGATGAGGACTCGGACAGAGTCGCGGGCTAAGAGTCGAAATTCCAAACTGAAGCGCGGGCCCCGACGGCCAGGCTTTATAGCCTAAATGCTAAAAGTCAGCAGTACATTCACCTTTAATGATTTCCACGTGTCCTGGTCTTCATATGTATTTCGAAATGCCTTAGTACGTCGAAACGCTTAGTCGTCATTTTGACACGCGCCGCATTTCGAACGCATATCAGTCCAATGACCTGAGGTGTCGAACTGATAAGTCATCACAATTCGATGCTCGCTGGCTGTTGCCAAGCGCGCATTGCAAAAAGCGACAAATATCAAGGAATCTAGCCATTTCACAGGGCTATAACATCGGCAAAGGTTCAAACTGATCATGTGGAGTGGCGAGGTAATCAGTAAGGACCTCAGGTATTTAATAATGTAAAAAAATGACCAAACATGATATCATGCAAACAAACGAAACGGGAAGTTCTTGCCAGTACGCTTGATGCAGCGGCACTCGTGGGCTGAAGGAAATTTCATTGAAAACGCGCGCGACAGTCAACGTGTTAAAGTAAGCTGTGATACTACTTATAAGTATAAAGAACAATGTTTCTTAAATTTGAATTTATTTTATATTGTACTTTTAACGCAACTATGTACTGTAGTGTAAGAGAAAATATGTACACATACGTATAGGAATACAGAGAAATATAAATGTAGCCACGTGCCATTGTTAATTTTCCTGTAATCTTTGAGAAAATTACGAGAGAAGGTATAAACAAGGACAACAGAACGAGAACGTGTGACTGACATCACTCGCTTTCTGACGTATAACTTCGCTTCTGCAATCAGACAAATTATTGCGTGGGAGTACGAAGTTGTCCCAAGTTGAATACTTAAAACGAGTAAATAATAATTAGTTCGATAAAGAATATTGAAAAGTGTTATCACAAATCATATTACTTCATTGGTAAAAATTCAGTATAAACATTTCTCAAAAAGAGTTATCAACGTCACTTGATAACGTATAAAAATAAAATATATAAGTAACTATCGATGCATTCTAGTTGTCAGTAGAATACAGACATGGTCGCTAAGCTGTCGTTGGAATGCAGTGTTCTCCTCCTGCTTGCAATGTGAGTCTTCTTTCTCGTATTTTAGTCGAAACTCTTTTAAAATCATTGAATTTGACTAACATTTCTTATATATCGATTTACCTTCTTTTTTCTCTACTTCAACCAGGGATCAATCATTTATAATTTCGTTTAAACATTGATTTTATGCTGTTACGATTATATAAGTTTTATTCGATAAACTTCAAACAATGTAATAATTTTTAAATGGAAAAATTGTCAAGTTCTGTAAATTTTGTTTCTAGTCTTGCACGTGGCGAATTCACAGTAGAGGCTGGCACTGATTATGAGAGCCAGCCCGTCAAGTTCCCGAGCAACTTTCTTTTGGGCACAGCGACAGCCGCATATCAAATAGAGGGGGCATGGAACGCGAGTGGTAGGCAATTTAAATTCAAACATCAGATACTTTTTAATTATCATCCAAACTAATGAAATTATCAATCAATTTTCTTCGTATTACATTATGAAAATAATAGATAAAGGAGAGAGTACCTGGGATCGATTTACCCATTTGAAAGATGGCCACATTATCGACAATTCAACGGGAGATGTGGCAGCGTTATCTTATTACAAATACAAAGAGGATATCGGTATTATGAAGAATCTCGGGGTAAATATAGCTTAAAACAGTAATGTTCGTTTTATACTGTAAATCAATAAAAATAGTTATATGGAATATTTAATTACGATTTGATTTTGTAAAAAGAATTTTATATCAACCCTGCATTTGATGAAATTTGTCACTTACACATATTCTCGTAATTTTAGAATTCTTTCAAGGTTTCTTGATGTACACGTATAAATTCCAGAAAAACTTATTTATTAATTTGAATATCAAATTGCAATATTTATATAATGATAATAATATAGAACAAATTAATAAATATTATTCTATTAATCACGATTAATATAATCTCTTAACTGTTTTCCACAGTTCAAGTCATACCGTTTCTCGATAAGCTGGCCCCGAATTCTTCCAAACGGATTTGCTAACAAAATCAGCAAAGATGGAGTCCAATATTACCATAATTTAATTGATGAATTACTGAAGAACGACATCGAGCCAATGTTGACTCTCTATCATTGGGACCACCCGCAGGTCCTAGAAGAAGCGGGTGGCTGGCTGAACTCAGAAATGGTCGAATGGTTTGCCGATTACGCGAGAGTCGTTTATCGCGAGTTCGCACCCAAAGTGAAAAAATTCATCCCAATCAACGAACCATCGATCGTTTGCAAAGGGGGTTACTCGTATGGCACGTATGCCCCTGGCAAAACTTTGCACGGTATCGGCGAGTACATGTGCGTACATAACGTGATCAAAGCTCACGCGAAAGCCTACAGAATATACGAGACCGAGTTTAAGTCATATGGAGGGCAGGTTGGGTTTTTACTCAATTTGTTCGCGTACATGCCTAAAAATCCCGCGGAGGATGAAGAAGCCTCGAAAATCTCGTTCGAATTCCAAGCTGGATGGACCATGCATCCGATTTATTCTAAGGAAGGCGACTACCCACCGATTATGAAGAGCCTTGTGGCCAATAAGAGCAGCGAACAAGGTTTCTCTAGGTCTCGTTTGCCTACGTTTACTGATGATGAGATAAAATATATAAGGTATTAGATTCTATCCTTCATGTGCAATACACATATTATTATGTAGTATATACATATAAAACGTCGCAACAATAAGAGGACATATATGCATCCTGTCAATCATACGTCATCTTTGAAACTCAAGTACAATGTCACAGAAACGGTATTTTAGTTAATCACTCGGCAGAATTTTTTCTCCTCAACTGAGACTAACATTTCTATCGCAAACAAGATTTTTAAAATATTTTGCACAGCATTGACTCTTTTTAACAATTACACTGAACAAATATGTATTCTCTGTAGAGGTACCTCGGATTTCTTAGCTATAAATCACTACACCGCGAGACTAGTTACAGCTGGTTCTATGGGAGAAGTGCCGTCGCATGATAACGATCAGGGAATAATAGAACTCGTTGATAAATCTTGGAAAGGTTCAGGAGTCTCATGGTTAAAGGTACATCCATTAAAATTTATATTATCAATTTATGAATTAGTATATTGAATATACATATGTTATACCATATAATATATTGATATTTAATTACATTACATATGCGTATATACGATATACATAAAAGTATATGTATGCATTAATAATACTTTCAATGAATAATATATTCAACGTTTAATACATATTCTATATTTTACAGATCGTACCCGAAGGTTTTCGTTACATACTTCGCCAACTGGCGAGTAACTATGGCAATCCACCGATGTACGTAGTCGAAAACGGTGTCGCTGACCTTGGATTGCCCGAAGATGATGACAGAATTTCCTATTATCGCGAATACTTAAAACAGATGTTGCTCGCCATTTATACCGATGGCGTGAATATTCGTGGGTATTATGTGTGGACGCTTCTTGACGATTTTGAATGGGAGAAGGGATATAGGTAATTATTGTGATCTCAAATGTAGGTTCATTAATTTATGACTAAAAATATTTCATTGTTTGACAGAAGGACTTGATTAATATTTGAATAATATTTCACGGGAACAACATTTGATTTTCATTTGAATATGTTTTAAAATTAATAAAATAGCATTTTATATATGTATTATTTATTAAGGTTGAAAGTAATATATTCAATTTCAGTTTGCGATTTGGTATTGTGTCGGTGGACTACAATAGCCCAAACAGAACGCGAACATTGAAGAAGTCTGCTTCCTGGTGGCGGAATGTTATTGCTACTGGTAAGATCGATCAGTAGTAGTGAACCAATTATTGTGAATAAATGTCTAACCGTTATGCAACGTGATAAATTCGATCATCTACTTTATACTGTATTATTGTGCTAATTGTATTTTAATGATTGTAAGCTTGTCATTTAATTGATCTAAACCACTAATTATCGTTTTTCCATTTTATTGTTCCTTTACAAACATTTTATTACTGAAAAATTCAAAATTTTCTTAATTTTGCTCTTGCCAAAATTAAATATTGTGCTTACGATTGCTTGATGATTGTTTCACATAAAATGTTCATTGTATTTGTTAATTGTCATACATTCAATTATGCTACAGAAACAGCATATTTATTAAAATTGTAAAATTCAATTGTTAGCTTCATTTTTTGTTATGTACTTTTCGATTTGTACATGCGAAAATCTGAAAGCGTGTAGTATAAAGTGTATAATATGAGTATAAAGAAGCATGGACCTACAGGGGTGCGTGATTCAGGAGGTTGAGAGGGGAAGATGTAGGGGAACAAATTGCTGACCAGACTTTAGCGCCATCTATAACATACACCGAACTATTTTAAACTTAGAGCATATACTACATGGAGGAAGCACGCCTTTCTCTCTCGCGTACGCACGTGATTTCGCGCCGTTTAGGATAATTGGCGGAGACTTCCCCCTCTATCTCTACTGTTAGACAGAGAGAAGGAGTACCCAAAACTATTACTCTCTCTCTCACCGTTATCTACACTTTTTAACTAGGCGTGCTTCCTCCATGTAGTATATGCTCTAAACTTTTTAACTAGGCGTGCTTCCTCCATGTAGTACATGCTCTAAGATTTTAAATCTGTTGCCACCATAGAGATATTATAGATAGAGTACAGAAGCCAACCGCAAACGTGACTCGCAAATAGAAAGAGAAAGGAAGACGATAATTACTACCTCTTTCTCTCTACCGACGCATGTGCAGTACTCATGTAGGTATATATATGGGTTCGAATCTTCGAATACGTTCGCGCCCCGACAGAATTGGACGAAATTAAATATATTCAATGGAATTTGCATGTTCATAGTACAAGGTACTTTTAATTTTTACAATAAAATTGTAGACTGATGAATATTATA